AACAGTAAACTAATTGGATTGAGGGGAGAGAACAACTAAACACGGAGAGGACTTTCTATAGGAAATCGGCTCCTATTTAGGTGTTAGACACGTGAAGAAAACCAGACCGTTTGGTCAGACACGAACCCGTGACTAGTGTTTACTGATTTTATCCACTCGGCAACTAATGGGCTAATTCGATTAAACTGAGATACACTTTAAGAATTATTTAAAGAATAGTTTGGAATAGATATCAGTGAAATATCTTTTGGGACATCGTTAATTTAAAGAGTATCTTTTTAACTAGATTTAAAAATGACTGTCTCACTGGAAGAATCTAATCATCTTAATTAACATTAATAGATTCATCTCTACTGCGATTTTCTTTAATTTACAATGATTCGTGAGGAAAAACTAGTAGGGATTTTAAAAATAATAGTTAACTTTGTTGATTACTTATTTATTTTGATATACGAGCCACTGATCAAAGTAATAGGTAATAACTCAAAGTAATCACTAAATTTTTCAAACTTTTTCCATTTTAAGAGACTTTCTATCTTCTTTAATTGAGTACAAAACTTATTTTGTTGGAGGTTTTCGCGTTATAAGTCAAGAAATAACTTTTATTTTCGTTTTTTATGGGATTTTCGACCCGCTGATGACAATCAAATTTTCTGTATTCCAATCTTTTCTCTTTCTAAATCTTTTTCCCCGTTTTTTGTAGCCAAAAATCTACTTTAACCATCAAATAAAACAAGTGTAATCAGATTTATTGGTAATAATTTAATTAACCTATCAGGGTGAATAAAAATGTAATTATTTTCGTAATAAATAGTAAGTTTATCGTTAAAAATGAATGAGGAGATGATATGTTCATGATGTTATTTTCAAGATTTTATTTGTTCTGACCATCGTAATGTATATGTCGGCTACACTATACAGTTACCTCGCGACAAGAAACGGAATAACCTCATGCATACATATAAGGGGGAAAACAAAACCCAGGTTTTCCTGATGCAGATGACGAGCATCTAAATGCAGTTCAAACGATGAGTTTGTTGTAGTTAATTCCAAAATTGTTCTTTCGTGTGTTGGCATCAACACAGGAAAGACAATCTACCCAACTGAATACAAATTACTGACAAAATCGGGAATAAATCGAAGGATAAAACCATGTATTTCTTACCACGTATAGTTGTTATCACAACATAACCTAAGCTATTCGATTTCTGTAAGAATATAGCGCAATAAATTCGTGTATATTCTATTAAACTTTACACGAATTTGCTGTATATATGAGTTAAATATATGTATACATCTGTGTTTTCCATATTTGTAAATAAGACACGTAAATGTTTCGATTTGTATCAAGTCGATAGAAAGTGCCCCGTTTCGTCCATCGATGTACTTCGTGTTACGAATAAATAACATGGTTTACGGTTTAAATCTTACATAGATGATAAATAATATTTAATTTATAGAACTATCTCTTTCTTCTTGATTAATATAATTCAGGTTATTGAGGTTCTAAAATAAATTAATCTCGTCTAAATGGATTGATGGTATAATGCGCAAAACACGAGCGATTTGTCAAAGAGGATTGCAAATCTAGAGGACTTTCTATGGGAAACTGAACCCTATTTAGATGTTAACATTGTTTAAGCACTTCATATTTTCGATTTTTGCGGAATGAATAGTTACTAATACAATACAACACGATCTCTTTTTATTTATAGGATTATCATTCGTAGTATCTGTGAATTTATAGTATACTATGCATCAGAGTAATAGTCTCTATGTGTTTTTCTACATAATGTTAACAAAAATCCTAAATGTCTTCCAGGAAATTTTTTAATGTGGTAGATTTAGTTTAGAACTTCTATTTATCCATTTTTTCAAGCTTCCTTGCGACGTGACTTAATCAGCTTCTCTCTGAATCTTCTATTATAGTAACACGCTTCATTTTAATTTAGTTTAATCTCCCGTCTACGCTCAAATTCCTCGATATACTTACAATTTCATAAAAAGATATTCTTAAAATATATCTCCATTGACTGGGATTTGGACAATGCTTATTTAAAGTATACTTTTGTAAATTCCTAAAATAAGTAATAATAGTACTTAAAAAGTCAATAAATAAATTATTGTGAAAAAACTTTGAATTGTTTTTTAAATTACACTCTTGAAAAGTTTCAAAGTGTTGTGCACTTAATAAATCAAAGGATGGACGTAAAAAAATCTCATTGGCTTTTACAATTGTCAACTGCAGTATTTATTAAATTTTATAGACTATGTTTTAGATATGATAATCGGATACAAACTGAAAAATTATTCTTTTCGTGTGCAATTCACAGCTGTTACGGATCCTTAAACACGGGTTACTTTCATTGCATCTCTCTTTTTTAAATCTATGATTTATTACAAATCTATTACATCCCGAATTTCAAACTGTGTTAAAGTTGTCGGAAGGAATATCAATCATTCAATTGAAATACATAGAGATCTTTTTCCGTGTCTAGATATAATTTTTTTTCAATTTAAAAATGTTACTAAAATGCTAATCCATATAACAGAATGACAGAAAACAAAAGAAGATAAATGAATGAACAGAATATGCATTTTCTGTTATCTGGTCGTGTGTTGCTCGAACAACGGGCAAACCACGTGGAGTTCTCTGGATTTTCCGGAGGTCTCATAAAAGTAAGTGAGAGAACACCGTGAAAAGCAAGAAAGTGAAAAATAAATATTTTCATCGTTTTTTTGTTTTTTTTTGTTACTTTTTTTGTTACTTTACATATTTAACACTACATTAATAGAATCCTCTTTTTCTCTTCATACTTTTTACTGTGATATGTTTATATTAATTTTTATATTATAGTAAATGATAATTATACTTTTATTATTTAGAAGAGAGTAAGGAAGTAATTTCTTTTTCATCTTTCTGTTCTCGACCATAAATAATAGCATGATTTCCGGCATTATTGTTATTTGTCCTAAGTGCTAAAAAGTTTAGTCTTAAAAATTCTGGTGAGGAAAATGATCATCTGAATTACGTTTTATGAATATTTGTTCGGAAACTGCGATGAATTTTCTTTAGTTGCGCATTGCAAATTAGGTAACACAATGGAAATTGGTCGCGGGTTCGCGCCTCATCAACGGACTGACTATTATTCACGTGTCTAACACTAAATAGGGGCAGTTTCCCATAGAAAGTTTTTCCCGGAGGCATCCCCCTTGACATATCTCCCACGTGTTACTCGGTACGTTACCTTATCGCCCAAGTGTTAATCTAGTTTCTAAATCGGTAAAGAAAGTAAAAATTCTACGATTTTTTTTAAAATTTTATGATTTTGTGAAATTAAAATTTAATATTTTAAAAAATAAATTTCATTTCACTTCAGTCTAAGGGATCAACCATAACGATAAGCGCGTAAAATATATATAAAACGTCTTACTCATTTAAGATAATAATGAATTTTGTAACTGTTTTTCATTATTAATAATAAATTGGTTTTGTTTATAATGTGAATGTTGCATTATCTGAAAAATTTCATATTACTGAAAGATTTCTTTACAAACGTAACTATGCAGGGTACAGTACGTATTTTAAAATACACGTTTTGAAATTTAATTACAATTTATTTTAATGATATTCTTATTAAAACCTCAAAAAATATAATTATAAATTTATTTTTTAAATGTTTATTTATCTAAACCGATAATAAAAACTTTTAAAATCGGTTTAAATAATTTTTTTATCGCTGTAAATTTGTTAAATATTACTTATTAATGTAATTAATTTGCAAATAATTAGAAATAATTAGATCAAAGCAAATCAAATATAACGTATAATTATTCATATTTAAGTCATATTTTCGACAATAAGACACGAGCTAGTCTGTTGAATCTAACGCACAAGTTAAACCCTATTAACAAATTACTTTCTTTATAAAGAGGTACAGTACATAACAGCGTGTTGTTATATCGAAGGTTGACTAAACAGATCGATACATTTAACATTAACAAGTGGGCATTGCATATGTATGAAGGGAATTACAGACATCTATCGAATCGAACAATTTGTTTAGACTTAGGCAAGTTAAATTGATTTGATTGATGGAAGTGGTTACAAATTTAACTCGTGGCATATCTGTCTAACATTATTAACGTACGCAATGTGATTCTAATTACAGGAAACAATTCAATAATCGCTGAAATGTTTCCTATAATTTATGTTCCTCGTATTGTACCGTTAATTTTTCATGCTTTTGAAGTTCGTATTTTGTTCTAATTTTTTTTTCTTCAGTCGAAAATGATTTCCCCCGTTTAACAATTCAATAGAAACTCATATTTCAAAAATTTTATATTCTAGAAATCGGAATTCCTACAGCTCATAATCTTCAATGGCTATATGAAGAAGTGTTATATAATTCTCTAATTTAAAGCCAACAAGAAGAAAGAATTTAAGATGATTTATTTTAAAAAGTTTTTATGAATCTTCCTACTAAAAACATATCTTTTTTAACATCTGGATATGAAAAAATTATATCAGGATGTTGAATTGGTTATAGAACAGCTGCTGTTGATAACTCGGAATTAATAAAGTGTATTGGATAATAAATGGATTCTGGAATTAAATTATAAATTTTCGAATCGAAGAAATTCCAGATAAACTTTTATAGAATTAAATAAACTTTAATTAAATCAAACGTAATGAAGTATACAGGAAATTTTTGAAAGAAGTTAACCGTATTTGATATAATTAAGGGGTATAAAATTATAAAAATAAAAGAAAAATGAGTTGGTAGGAACTGAAGAATCAGTATTAAAAGATCCTTTAACTTTTTTTATCTCAGTTGAATTCAAAATGTTAATTTTAATATCGAATTTAGAATCTTTCTTTGTGATTTATTCAATGTTAAAATGTATGTAATTCGAGTGATTATTTCCGAGTTGTTTTTTGTAATTAAGAGATGAGAAATGTGTAATGCTCGCGATGAAATATTAAATAGTAAATTTAATTTCGAATTATGCTTTTTTAATGAGAGAAACGATTTATGCAACAGGTATTACAAGATTCTTTTGAAATGGGGATGCAAACTTTCTTCTTTCTTTTTATTTCTTAATTTTCCATCCTTAGGGCCTTTCTTCCAGGCTTATCGTAGATTCAGACAGGCTCACAATACTTATATGATGTGGTCTTATATAACAGGAACAGACCACCCCAAAAAATCCTGAGATGAAATTTCAATTGAAAAGACTTGATTTAGTTTAAAAATACTTATAAAGTATATACAAATATACAAAACTTTAAAAAATATATATAATTTTTGAAATAAAATTGTTTAATAAGTAATATTTTTTAAATATAATTAAACTTTTTGTAAAGGTTCTAATACAATTCTTATTAAAAGTTTATGTTAAATAGTTAAATAAAATTATGTATTACTTATTTTTCAAACATAAAACACTAAGAATTTTAGGACTAAATTAATTTATACACTGAAGGGAAATAGTTCTTATTCCAACAGACCATTCTACATCCTCCCTGCACCTTCTTCGGAATTGAATAAAATTTAATTTATTGTTAATTATTGTTCTCATTTATTATTTATTGTTATCAATTATTTGAAGAAACATTATTTATTGTTTACGATTCGCTAATAAAATAATTTTAATTAATTATTACATTAATTACAGATAATACGATAGTGTTGTGAAACTAATAGAATTACAAAAGCGAATATTAATTAACTGATAATTAATGCAAGATATATAATTTATTTATTAATGGAATTTAATAATTAAATATTTATTAATATTTAAATTATTATTATTATTTCGATTTGTTATCTAATTCTACTATTATTTTGATGATTCAACACCACACCACAAGGAATTTACTCCTTTGGAACCCTTTAGAGAGTTCCCTCTTCATTTCTATTACGGATAGATAGAAATATTCAAAAATAAATCTATAGATTATAACATTTATTCTTAATTAATGGCTTATATAATGTTATTTTAAATAATTAATATAAATGTAGAAGGGTGATCGAGTAATATGTTATTAAATGAAATTTTGTTTCTGTATATAATTTTTCTTTTACTCTTTTATTAAAGATTAATATTAAGTAAATAACGGTCTCAAATGTTTTATTTTAATGTCTGGGCATATATAAATTTAATTTCTCATTATATACAACTGTTTATCTATTTATAATAACGTTACTCAAACTATGCATATTAATTTCGTTATAAATATATAATTATACTTATATAACTAATGAATATTAATTTCTATATGTAATTGATCATTTTCATTTGTTCATAAATAAGTATGCTGTTAATCGTAATAAATTAGTAGTCTTAAAATATACAGGGTGGCCCAAAAATTGATTAACCGAGATATACATTTTTTTTCTAAGATTATTTTTATATCGATAAAACTAATTTTTTAAAATATAATTAAAATCATAATGACTTTCTTAAAATGATTTCGTCTAAACTAAATTAATTTTACTCCATTTTAATACTTGTCATCTTATATCTTGGCCTTCATCTTGATCAAGATGAAGGATTACGTTGGATTGATGGAATATGGCAACGTAATACTTGAGCGATCTGACAAGTGGAAAACTTTATATGGTAAATTGGCTCTATTTATATGTCAGACACTTGAAGAAAACTTAGAAAATTCACGCTCTCGTCTCGTTGGTGAAGCGCGAACCCGCGACTGGCCGTTCTGTGGTTTATTCACTCGGATGCTGGTGAGCGATGGAGATGAAAACCACGTAATAGATACAAAAGTGTTCGTTTTTTACATTCTTCTAAAATACTTTACTTTAAATTTTAATTATTCGAACCAAAAAGCTTCTTGTCTCGAAAATTGTTGAAGGTACTTTATTAGAGATCACACTCCTACTGGTAACGTCAAATTGGCACTTCTATCAACAGAATGCAACTTTACATTTCGTATTTCGGTACACAAGACCCTAACGGGCCTATAATAAGATATTGTAGGCCTGTTTATAATGTAATCCTCATAGTACTGTGCAGTGTGGGTGGAAATAAATCTTGAACAGATAACTATATATTTTTATGAATGGCTGATGAGGGTCTTGTGTACCGAAATGCGTACCGGTAATAAAGTTGCATTCTGATGATAGAAGTGCCATTTTTATGTTACTATTAGCAGTGTGATAAGTTTCTGTTAGGATTTCAGATATTAATTTCAACAGCTTCCATTTAAATAAATTTCTCTGTCAGATAAGAATAATCTTTTGAAAACGATAAATAATTAAATGTATAACTCATATTTACAACCGTTTTAATTTAATTGTTATACGAAAGATTTTTAAAATCTGTGTTTTATATTATTATTCTTATCGGATGGTGGGATGCGAATTAAGTTCTTGTGTTAATCAGGTTTTATGAGAGCTTCTTTTAATTGATGCTCCTCATTTAAGGGACAAAAAACGTTGAAAATATTTATGTTAAAACATAAACTAATATTTCTTGTCTTTTATTTATTTTGAAAATGTTCAAAAATTTTTAAAAATCGATAATTTAAATAAACTAATTTTAATAGAAAATGTATTATAAATGTAAAATTATTACAAAGTGTTGTTAACGCTTTATAAAACAAGATGAAACCAAAATGGTAATTACTTAATTAAACGAAATAGAGCCGAATTATCTTATTTTTACACATTTATTAACAAATTAATGGCAAGAAAATACAAGTTAATTAACTAAAATTATATATTCTGTAACACGATGAAATTAATTATTATAATTAAATTTAGATTTATGATATTCTTTTTGATCAATCAAATTTTATTAATTTAACTAAATTAAAGTATTATTAAAAATATAATAAATTAATTTACTTCGGGTAAGGTGCCCACCGGTGATTGTGTTTATAAAACCATTGAATACTGAGAGTAATTTGTCGTGGGTTCGGGCCTCACCAACGGGCTGGTAGTTGGGTATGCCTGAATATCGTTAGATCTGAGTGAATCATAATTCCGAGAAAATTCTTAAATGAGAAAATGTAAGAATTTATTATTCTTTAAAAATCTCATAGAAACTTTGAAGAGTAGTAAACATGTGTAGGAAAGAAGCGGTTCGTTGGTCCCTCTACAGATTTCGGCTAAAGCCTGCGGCGAATAAGCGAAACGACGACCGGAAGATCGAGGCGATTAAGGTGTTAGCTATTACAATTCAAGAAATGAGCTTCTCCCGAAAGAAAATAATGACTACGGGTCCGGTAACAAAGAATAATTCAAAGTTCTATAATCATTTCGTATCATAAAGTATCAAAGTCCTGTAGAACAATTAAAAAAGTGACAAAAAATAACACGAATACTAGAAATTAATTTTATATTTTCTATTAATTATATTTTATTTCAAATATATTTTTATATGGACTGGTCCATAAATTATGCAACGTTACGTTTTAACTACTATTCCAGTCGCTCGTAACGGTATGTAATGCTTTCGCACATACTCACCCCCAAAATTACGTAATGCTTGTCCCGAATCGACCTCTTAATTGTACAAAAACATAATACACAGCACGGAATAATGAAGGTTACATTATTATATTAATTACACGTGTAACGTACAGTACAATACCAAAACATTAACTACTTCGGAATATCTCGTACATTCCAATAACTTTCGGACGTTACACAACAGAATAATTCATTACGTAATATTCGAGGAGACCCTAGAATTATGTAACATGTTGTAAAACACCCCACCATTTGTTTTGGGCAGCTCCTACCAAGTAGGCGTATTTAAACAGTGTTATTTACAATTTAAACTTATAAATAACATATATTTTTCTATAGATATTTTTAAAAGAAAAATTCTATATTTCGCTTAATTATTTTATTTTTCCGAACGTGTAGTATCTGGTGATGTAGGTTGAATTTCACCAGGCATCTGCTGCCATCTGTTGATGTATTTCTTTACGAAAAGTCTGTACTCAGTACAATGAAGAGTGAGTGGGAACCGCAACAGCAATAAATATTTTGTTGCTTACTCCAGGGAATTGATTTCCGGATGTCTGGTTCAGATGTCAGTGAGTGTATCAGTCAGTATTTCATTTTGAGGAGTTGTATTAAGACATCGTCACTATTACGATGTTTTATACACTCAAAAGTGTAATCGCAACACCACGACTGCAGGACCTGTAGAGGCGACAGAGATATGCAAATGATTAAGTTTGCCTATGCATCGGGTCATGTTGTACCCAGTTTCGTACTAAACGATCAGCAGCCTGATAGGGCCATAAATGCTATCAGCGAACGGTTCTCAGCAGCCGAACTTTCGAAGTGTAGAAAATGCCTCGGAGATGAAAGCGAACTGAATACCACCAGACAACGGTTAGGGAAAGAGACTATTCTAGAGCTGCAAGACCTCGGTTTATCGATGCCCGCAGTTGCCTCACGTGTTGGGTACGACGTGAGTATCATCCATCGATGTGTGACACGATGAACGCAGGAACATTTGCGAACACGCCAAACAGGAAGTGGACTGCACTAGGACACGACAGAGCGCACAGACTGGAAGATTTGCCGAACGGCCGTCGGGACCAGTTCGCCACACGGGACATTCGAAATCGTCTGTTACAATCAACGAATGCGTGCGTCCATGTACACCATTAGCAACATGATTCATGAAGTCGGGCTGCACGCACGGCAACCAGCAACCGGGGTGCCATTAACCGCTTATCACGGGCTGCACGCCTGGTGTGGTGTCGTCGTCATGGCATCGAGTGAAGATGGGTATGGGCCGCACTCAGTGGTATAGCCCAAGACCAGAAGCAGGAGGAAGATGTAAAGTTGTGTATGAAGAAGTTAGGGTGAAGGGGAAGTACAGGAGATAGGATAGAGGGAAAAAGACCTTAGTCTCTGAGACGCAAGGGCGTCCGCTTCGCTTACACTTAAGACAAATACTTACGTTACATTAATTATAGATGTATATAGTTAGTACAGTAGATAAACAGACAAAGGTTGCTGATGAGTTTGTAGACAGATAATACATTGTCGTTACATTGCAGAAGATACGCATAAAATTCAGAGAGTGCAATTTCAGAGTGGAAAGTTACACAAGTAATACTTTCACGTACATGAATTGGTGACTTTGTTGAAAGATTTTGGAGATGGTATACAGTGACGTAAAGTTGAATAACAGGGAACACAATTACTATTACCATGATAGTTACAGGGATGCAAGCATAGACTACACCGTGCTAGTCCAATATCTTGATGACTTGAATGAATTTCTTCAAGGCTTTGGAGATGTATTTGTTTTCCGTGAAGACCCTAAGCTCACAGGGCCAGAGCTCATTCCTGTTATGTATTTCATTTATGAGTCCCTTTCGTTGGCTTGAGTAGATAGGGCAGTGAAAGAGAATGTGCAGTGGGTCTTCCTGTTCTTTGAGAGGGCATGGGCAGAGTCCATCGTCGTCATGGCAACTGGACAACTGAATTGCATAGGGTATTGTTTATGGATGAATCCTGCTTCTGTCTGTGGAGAAATGATGGTCTTGGACGGGTGTGGTGTTATCTCGAAGAACGCTACATGCCAGCCCTTTTCGCCGAGCGTCAAACCGGATGTCCTGATTTGGGA